CTCGTGGTTATTTGTTAACCTATTTTCATTAATAATAATTGAGATAATGAATAATTGTTTGGAAAATTAAACATATACTCCGTCGAATTTTGTATGGTTAACTGATGAAGTGACTGTCTCTTTCATGCAAGATACAATATAGTTTCTAATAAAATTACTTTTTCAATTAGATCTCTTTGATGTGTTCCGTACCTACGGAGAGATCGATATTTTAACAGAGTACTGGAATACTCTGTTACTTTTGGAGAAAGTATCGGTTTGTGATAAATGTCAGAAGTGAAATGAATCGATCTTTCTCTTTCTATAGATAAAACAGCATACTTACGAATGTAACGCTAAAACGTAAGTATACATGATATCTATATGTTTTACGTCGATACCAGATATGATAACAACGATAATAATACACAGGGTGCGGCTATAACAAAGATACACGCAGTACAAATCTTGCGTACAGATACGATGATACCGATAATAGAAAATAAGCGACGGAGAAGAGATTAAGTTTTCAATAGATCCCACAATAGAATAGTCTTCTTCTCGACGCTTGTTCGCGCTCTTGAAAAGGGAAAATCGCGATACCGATCGGCTTCGAAAGCCGCTCCCGCATCGTCGTCGCCGCAGCTGCCGCCGCCGCGTTCTCTTCCGGTTCACCTACGCGGATTATTATTACGCACGTCGCGGCGAATGGAAGCAAAACGAGCGTAGGAGGGAAAAGCTGCGAAGGTTACGAGCCGAGTGGCGCGTTTACTTTCTCCGACGCGAAATCGGGAATCGCCGGCGTCATTTCCGAATCGCGATACAGCACGCGATGACGTAAGCATTCGCGATTATATCTCCGTTCCTCCTTGCCTGCTGCTGCTCCTCTCCTGCCGCCTCCCCCGCCTGCGCACTTTATCGATTGTACGGTGCGTTGGGGGACCGAATTAATTCATCAGGGTCAGTGTTGGCCCCCGCCGTTACGAGGTGAATCGGAGTAATCGATAGCGCGCACCGTGGAGCGCTCGTGCGATCTGACCGATAATCGTTTTGGACACTTTCGGAGAAAGTGTTCTTCTTCCCTGCAATAAGCAGGTGAGAAAGCGGGTTGTATCGAGGCGATGTTCCCGTGGATAATTTGACGTCATATACATGTTTTACATCTTTTTATGTCTCGAGTGGTACGTACACTGATACACTGACGTACGATATAGTCGACAAGCAGTAATATCTTCTAATAAACTCAAGTGACGCCACGCTGATTATCATTAGTATCGTAACGATCGCCAAGGTAGGATCGAAGCGATCTTCGTTATCGGTGTGCTCGCGATCGATCGTAATCCGAAATACGTGTCGCGTGTATCACGATTCATTGACGTGTCGTACACACTTTCCCGTGTGAATCATGATACAGGCCGCGTTCGTGCTTAACCGCTGGCTGGTATTATTCGCGGGCACATGTATACGCGCACAAGACGGGTGTGCCTCGTTGTCGTATTCTTCGTACCGAGAGAAGAGGGATAGAGAATCTCCTTTGTAGAAGGGGGCAGAGACGAACACGTAGGAAGAAGTTTCTCAGATAGTAATAGCTGGAAATATCTCGTTAGAACAATTCAAACGACATATCTGCATTTATTTCTGTCTGAGAACCAATTCGATATGCGACACGCGATCTCTTTTCTTTTTTTTCTCAAGCCAAGCAGGTCGATCGAGCACGACGAACACGCTAACGGGAATGAGTGACGAAAATGATGGCATGGAATGCGCGAATGAATTATTAATAGAGAGACCGAAGGCGCAGGTACGTCATTGGCAAGCAAAGAGTGAATCAATTTTGCGCGCACGCACGAATACGCGTAAGAATCTTCTCGGAAGATCGTCCGATGATTTCGATCTGTTTAACGCTGCATGGTTGACTCCGTGATTTCCATATTTCGTTTCTATGTCCCATCATGAAATATAGTTATCTCAATTATCTATTTTTCTTTCTTCTTTTTATTAATATGAAATCTGTGTTTTTCGCAGAGTTGAGGCGCGAATCGACGGCCGCGAAGCCGACATTGTTGTCGTTGGAGCCGTCGGGGATTTCACGAGAAAGGAAGCAAAAGAACGTATACTCCACGGGCAAGGTGCGAGGGAAGGGCGAAGTTGTGCGAGGGGGCAGGAAAGGTGCACGAGGAGCGCGTCGAGAGGAGAAGGGGAGTAACCGCAGGGAGACACGAGGAACGTCGCCCGCGGCTAGCAACCGAAAAGGCAAAACTCCTGGCGAGTGCTGCGCGAACTGGTTTTCGGGGATATCGCGGTTACATGTCGTCGACGAAAACGACGACGACGACGACAGCGACGAAGACGATGACGGCGGTGGTGGTGACTCGCAGGTATCTTCGTGCAAAAGGAGGGAAAAATTGCCTTGCCGAAAATATAAACCCTGCGGAAGATATGTGACAGAGAAGCGGTGTTTGTCGGCAAATATCGCGACTGTCAGTGATCGTGACGGAGACGTGATGAATGTTTGATTTTCCAACAGGCACATTTCACGACAGTCGTCGCCAAATAAGTCGTCCGCTTTTGTTTCGTGAGGTCTGGAACGCGTACGTTTTGTCCAGACGTATGTGTTGCAGAACTCATCGGAAAATAACGGCTATCTGATCGCGAATATGACGTGGAGTCTTTTAAAGTTTATAGTAAAGATAATGTTCTTGAACGAAACAATAATGTAAGAAATAAAGTCTTACATGTAACACACACAGTATAATTAAAATTATTCCAATGTATGCGTGCTCTGAAATTTCTTAATTTTTGTAAGTTCTATTTCTCGTAGTTTAATAGATATAGGAATAAAGAATTTATTCAGTGTGCGTGAGAATTATAGTGCTCGAAAAAGAAGAAATGTTATTTACCAAAAAACTATAGTTATAAAGCCACGAGGATAACAATGAGTTTGCTTAAGAGGAATTGAGAGGTTTGACAGACAGATAGTTGGATGAGGTACTTAATAGCAGTTTGATGCAAACGGATAGTTAAATTTATATTCTGAGAAAGATGCATAATACAGGAACGGTATTTATCGTAAAAATTGCAATTGTATGGTCGTGAAATTATGACGATGGAATAGCTTGAGGTATAACGAAGTCTTTGATAGATGGATAAATATAGAGAAAGATAGATAGGTGAAGCACTTATATTGATAGTTTGATACAAGAAGGTAGTAGTTGTATTCTCCCCAGAGAAAGTGTACCGATAGAGTAACATTTGTCGAAAAAATCGTAATCACACAGTCATTGTGGTGCGATCCTTATGAGCGTTATATACTTAGCGAGATTAATTCTATATATAGATGTGTTTACGACAAATAAATAAAAAATATACTAGTAAAACTTGTCGGCTGTAACAGTTATATTTCCGGATTTTATAACCAGTTGGATTTGAAAACCAGTTGGCACGAGAGGCCAATCAATCACACGCTACGGTTGCGAAAACATTTACTTTGAAAAAAAATGATAAGAGAAATTCTTAGTCAAATATATAATAATGACGTAAGCAGACTATGCTGCCAGAACCTGGCTGTCAAAATACGCGATCGTCGTGATATAGCATTGTATTACAGAAGTCATGCCCGAATAAGAAAAATAAAATGTATAATATCAAAGTTAAATAATAAAAAAAATTCTAGCTTTATCTTTTTTACGAATAGATGAATATTGCTTAATATCTTAATATCTAGAATATTTTATCTAAACAAATTGTGCTTGTCAAAAAATCGTTTGAAATAAGATCGCAATGAACCTAACGAGTTTATTTTATGTTTAGAATACAACATGCGTGGATATTCACTTAACAAACAAGCTTGTTCGGGTCGACTGGATATCAAGAAGAGGTCGAAGAAATGTCTAATCAGGTGGACTCGTTAGGAACCTCAGATACCAATATCAACTCTCCAACTGTGAAAAGATACGTTATGATAATATTGAAATCACGAAAAACAACGACGCACAATGCCTTTCTTGGTAAATCTCCTCCAGAAAGTAATACTTGACTACAAACGCAAATGCAGAAACATGCCATTAAGATCCGACACGGAGACACTACGTTATCTTGTGCGACTCTCGAATATGCGACGTAGAAGTCGTGCATAAACAATGTCTTCGTGCTGCGGCAAAAGTACGCGCAAACAGCAGAGTTGTTTATGCGTGGAGCAGAACGAGGAGGGAATTTCGCGAGGGAATGAATGGAGTGAGCGAACGAGCGAGCGAGCGGCCATCGGAGCAGCGTGAACGGGCTCTCGACGAGTCGAGTCGAGAGGTATGCGGCTCGGGAAACGTCACACGGGACACGACTACGGTCAGCTACCTGAACGTAGCCGCATTCACGACGAAGGTTCTCACACACAATACTCAAATCTGTGGAATCCGATTCTTTTTAGACCCGGAGAGACCCAAAAAATATCTGGTAAAGGACATCCTAGTTCCACAAAAATATCGTTGCGACTTCTGTGTCCGGAATCTGCATAATACGTATGAATGAGATTTCCAGCGACAAAAGACGCAACGTATCTAAGATTTGCGTGTAGTCGTTTGATCGTGAATTACGTCTCCTCGTCACGATGAAACGCGAATACAACGTTCGGTGTAAACATGGGGGATGGCAGCTGGACGGATGAACGAGCGAGCGAACGACGAACGGACGGGCGCGTTTAGCGCTGAAATACGCGACCGCGAACACGGGCGCGACTATGTGACGTGTACGCGCTCGCGGCGATGCGCTTCGCGGGCGAGAAAGACAACGGATGTGTTTTCGGAGCGGTTCTCCGGTTTTGCAAGGTGGAAGAGGATCGGACGAGTCCGACGGAGCGCCCGCGGCGCGGAGTAGCGCGGGAAGGAGGGTCAGAGGCGCGACAAGGACGAACGTACGCGACCGTCGTGGCGACGGGAGCGAGCGAAAGAGAGATACAAGATATGTAGGTAGAGAGAGAGAGAAAAAGAAAGAAAGAGAGGGAGTGGGAGTGAACAAGCGAGACTTACCCAGAGCTCCGTGCCCCAGCTCATGTTTGCTGGGCCGGGAAAACCAGCAGGCACGATGACGAATGTATCCCCGGGACACTTCACATGTAACGCGACGTGCGCTTCCTCACTCGTGCACCTGGCCGCACCGTGATTGTACACACGCACCGCACAGCACCGCGAAACGCACGGGATCGCGCGTTAGAGATCGCCCGCCACGCGCACAATCACACAGATCTCCAACATGTCGCTCTCGTAACCACCGACTGCCTGCTTGCCTAACTGCCTACCGAACGCCGCCGCCGCCGAGACTGACTGTCGTCGAAAACCGCCCTGAATTCCGACGTGGCGCGCTCTGTTGGCGGCGTGTCGCGTTATAGGTGCGTTCGCACTACGCGCGTAAGCGATGAAAAAACCGCGCGAAATTTTAATGTCGAATGAGAGCCACTGAATGTTGGCTAGATTTTATTCAAGACTCAGCTGCTTCACAGAGGACTTCCAATATTTGGACGATTAATCTATACAATAATTTATGATTATATGATGTAATCTGATTCTCCCAATATATGTCGGACGATCACAACAGTCGACACTATTAACGCTTTCTAATATTCTCTAGACGGCAATGATGGTAGTAAAAAAATGCTAACCAAGGCCGACGTTCTTTGATAGTATCTCGTAATAGCGAGTTTGACGCAATATTGCGCGCTAGCACAGATAAATGGCGGAGATTTACCGAAGGACGAGAATATGATGTAAGCGTCGAATCTTCAAGTATTAGTCTCGTCGAACCAAAAGCGCCCGCTTGACTTCGTGTTATTGACCTGATGCGATAACCGATTATAAGTATCAAACGTCATCGAGTTTAATCATACTCGAGCGGATTGACCGATGCACTGAAATGGTCGCCCGTCTCTTAATTCGACACTCCCGATACTCGTCCGCGCGCGAATTTCACTCTCGATGTATAAAAAGACACGACGAGCACGGAGCGACCGCAACCCGAGTTCATATATAGAAACTGCCACGAATTGAAACGGTCGCGTGACGTCACTTTTTCCACTATGGGCAGGGTCCGCATGTATCAAAAGGGCGCGCACGGAGCGAGCTGCACCGAGCGCACCGAAAATCATACCCGTCGCGACATCTGTGACCAACTGTGAGAACCTGGTAGACGACTCCGGAATTTGGATCTGACAGATTGTTTCGTGTCTCACAGGGTTCTACTTATTGCAGACGAATATCACAGGTGAATTATCGTTAACGCAGACACCGAAGGTAAATCTTAAAGTTAGACAATAACCGAAAGTCTCGGGTGTCCGTTTCGCGGGACGAGTCATTGGTAGTGCCGCGAGCAAAAAGTGCTGTCCACTTGTCGTTCGACAATCACACGTTCAGAACATTAGCTTTACTCTTGCGTCTTACCGAACGTGTGTTTCGCGCTTGAATCATCGTTAGCAATGTCGAAAGTCAGCGTTTATGACAAAATATCATTAAGCGACCATCTACGATGGTCAGGTAGGTCGCGGAACGGTTAGTAGAAAGTGGCGCGTAAATTTACGCGCTTTACAGTTTGCTTTCCGACAAGACACGTCTCATTGGCTAGACGTCATCTTGAGATTATCTCTAGATGATTTCGAGCCAATGAAATACGTCTTGCTGGAAGATAGACTCGATCCGTATGTAGTAGAGATGAGCGGGACGGACGGGAAGATCGCTTTCAAAAAGCGCTCTGCATTTCTCACGATTTTGATCCCACAAAGGTGAGTTTTGCACACGAATTCGTAAATCGTAATGTCGTAAGTGCTCGAGCAAGTTTCGTGTATCTGTCGTAAAGTATCGTCGATCAGTCATCGAAAATAGCTGTATCTCGCGAGACCGTTTGCCGGGAGTGTCGAAAATGCATCGGGCGATCGTCGCGATCGGCGGTTTGAAACTCGCGGTATTTACGATTGTGTTTTCGGCTAGTTTAGCATGCGTGTTGCGTGCGGATTATCATCACCGGGATTACCGCGGTAAATTTCACGCGTCTATCGTCGAATGTCCGTCAAGCAGTCGTCGAAAATGTGTATTTCGCAGAACGACGTACCGGGAATGTCGAGAAAGGTTTCGCGTATTCGTCGCGTTATAGCGGTTTGCCTTTCGAATCGTATCGCGAATTTTCGTTGGGAATGTCGTAAATAAGTTCCGTGCGTCTTTCGCGAAATGTCCTTAAGTAGTCGTCGAAGATGAATATTTCACGAAACAATTCGTCGGGAGTGCCGAGAAGTTGAAAGCGCGTAATGGTGCTTCGGAATTCAAACCGCATCGCGTCGGGAGTGCCGCGAGTAAATTTCGTGCGTACGTCGGACATTTTGGAATTCGAGTCGTTACGTTATCTACGATTGAAGGAAAAGTCGATGAATATCGAAATGCAAATGCAAAAGCTGCAGCAGATAATATACTAACTATTCAGATATTTATATTGTGTGATAAAAATAATAAAATATATCGTATTCTATAATTATTCTCAAAATTCAAAGCAATTATAAAATTTTACCTCGTTATATTTTTGTTCTGGTTAACATTGAATATAAATTAAAAAAGCGCAAAATAAGTTCAAGATAAGCGACACAACTGTAACATTAATAGAACTTTTCAAATTTCAGATCTAAAGGAATCAGGAGACGCACCATTGTGACTCTTCAGGCCAATTTTCCTACATCTTCAGAGAGGGAAAGAGAAAAAAGAGATTCTACGGAGGCAGAAAAGTACAGAGAGAACCCACAGAAAAGCAACATCAAGGGAAAGTGAGTAAACATTTAAAGGTTTATTTCGAAAATACGATTTATTAACCTGCCGAGCCTAAATTCTGCGACGCGCGCGCTCACACGCATTTAACACGCGCACACTTCGCTGTCGCACGCGCACTTCTCTGCATATTCTCACACACGCGATATATAAAATCTAAAAGGTCGCTATTATATACTTAAACACCATGACTCGTAGCTTGCCCGATAAACGTTACGCTATCCTAGAAGTCGTGTTTAATTACTATGTCGATGCGAGTTGCTCGCTCGATCGTGCGCGATCGTCACCGCCGTTACAAACGATTACACAGAACTCTGCAGAACACCGAGACGGTACGTTGAAGACATTCCCCTCCCCCTTCCCTTCCCCACACCTCGCGACTTGTTTCACTCGCATCCTAATTATCCTAGCTCGTTCATCTCTCCCTCAATCGCATACGAGCGACGCTACTCCTATTAAAGCCCAGCGGCGGATTTACGGATTCACGAAGTGCGGATACCGCTTGTGAGAGAACAATAAGTGAAACTGAAATATTTAAATCAGAATAATATTTAAATTAAACAATAGAGCCGAAACGTATCGACACTCTGAGTTCTTAACACGCGTGAAGAATAGACTCGGGTTTGAACAATCGATATCACATACAAACCACGATATATTTCGAATTTAAACTACATCCAGGATAAAAATTGCACGCGAGCCCATAAATCCGACGCTTTTAGAGACGCATTACGTGTGTGCAAATCTTTTTTTTTTTATTATCACCCGTGTCAGCAAAATTAAGCTAATCTAGAAACTCGATTTCCGATCTTTGTATCTTCAGCGAACTTGCAGTGAGAATAAGTGCCTCGAGACAGAAAAAAATTTGCACGCGCATGCAAGAGTTTGCTTTTGTCTGATCGGGATTACATATTTACGTTCGTGACATTGGATAGTAACTTTCTCGATTAGGCTGCGTCGATTAGGCGAGCTTTTGTCGGCAACTTAACTATCGAAAGACCCCCGCTGTTTGACAACGTTCGGCGACACAGCCGAACTTGTGTGACAAGTATATATTCCATACGGTAAACTCCAGCAAAATTAACATTTATCCTGATACGACGACGAACAAGCAAATTTGCTCTACTAGGTTCTGTTATAAGTCAAAGTGACTCGTCTAATTCACACGCGAGTGTAGGAAAATTTGGAGACGCAAACAATTCTTCGGTCGGTTGTTTCGAATGTTACGAATCCGTCGACGAATACGATTCGCGAGATCCAAAGAATGTCTCGAGGATACACCTCGGGATAAAGAAACGAACAACTAACGCGTTAAACTTCGCAATTTCTTTTTCTAGCACATGCATAGATCAATGGTTATTCTTTCGTATGCCAATGTTGAACATCCACGCGTCAACGCGAACAGTCTACGTGTAGAATATACGAGATATGCATACTGCACGAAATAATCATCCTCTCGCGTTTCTCCGAAAGTACCGTCGACAAAGGAAACTGTCACAAACAAAAGCAATTTTACATGTAGAGAAAACTAATTCAATCATATAACGCACACTGAATGTCGAAAAGCGCGCGTTTTGTACCGTAACATTTTCCTCTGGTTTCATCACACATCAAAATACGAAAATACCTTTGCGCGAAACATCAGTTTAAATTACCACTTTATCATTGAATTAAATAACCGTCGGATTTACCGCCACTAAATGCAATTCGACCCCGAGTTTTATTTGTTTAACCTGAACACCGCATTTGATGTTATTACGAGTAGAGAATTGTGCGGCCGCATTTAGCACCAAATGCGGTATGAATACGGGTTGTAATTTGCGTAAGTGACGCTTCAGATATTCTACACGTAGACTATGCGTAGACCTCCAGCACTATTCCGTACGCTTCCATGCACCCACTGGAATAATCGCTGACGCGTGCACACAGTGGCGGAGTTCCGTTGGCGGCGGGAACGCGCATTGTGGTCCGTTAAACGTTGCTATTTACAGTAGTTACATGGACTCGTCTCTACAAGTTAAACACGCAACATTATGACTGATATTTACATGATAAGAGTAACGAACGACAGTATTTCTCTGCCGCGACCACATCTCGGCAGTCTTCGTTAGCTCGTTCCGTCCGATGCACCGATCGGCGCTTGAAATTCTCTTGTTGAAGAGGGATGCCGAGATCGAAGGAGTTAAGTGCCTTGAAAATATTTTCCACCTACGACGCGTGTGTCTCAGAACTGTTGTAGCTCTTTCAATCTTCTAATTAATTTCAAATTGAATACATATTTAACAAAAGCTCTTGAACATTATTCTCTATCTCCTGAAACGAGATGATGTTAAGGAGAAATCTTGAAACGATAAATAAGATTTCGTTTATCTGTTTTACATCCCTATATATAGAGAGAAAGAGAGAGTATGTTTTAATATCTTATCACCATTGAAAAGGCAGTGCATTTTCTTTTTTATTCTCCAAGTCTTTCTATATATCGTCATGACTCGTCAGTGACCAGCGAAGAGCACGTGTGCCAAGAAAGAGATGCCGAATAATTCCGCGGCGTGAATCTTCGCGACTACAATTGACATTAATATTGACGTGTCATAGTGAATCCAATGAGTTTGTTAAGCGGGTCCGAGCATCGATCTTTGCGCCACTGTGAACACACGTTATTCTCCCTCATAGAGCCGTCGCAGAACGAATCGACCGTACGAAACGGCATGATAATATGTCTCACTCGGGATTTCGCTGCGTACAAAAAATATCCTTACGAACTATGATACGGCATATGTACAGGGTCTATGCGCTAGTTCGTCGTGATTGCTGCGGGTGTGTGCGTACGACTTCTCTGTACAATCTCTGTACAATCTCTAACGTGACTGCCGAACGAAAGAATCGCATGTGCACACTTGTGTAATCGAAGGCTTGACACAAAAAAGATCGTTGGAAGAGAAGAGAGAGAGAGAGAGAGAGAGAGAGAGAGAGAGAGAGAGAGAGAGAGA